TACGGGAAGAGTAGGCTATGGTGTACATTGAAGAATCCTGAGGAACCGTGTCATAAAACAGGCAGGTCTCTCCATACAGTTCAGGACCTACTCCTTCAAGAAACCCTGCAACACCCCCATAAAGCCAGCTCCGTCCCCCTCCGTGAAGCCCTACAGTGAGTTCACGGACTGCATAAGCAAACTCCTGAGAAGGAACCCTCAGAAGCTGCTTGGACTTCGAGTGAAGGGGGTACCCCGCAGCCTCAGCGCGTCCGGGAAGTCGTGCAGGTCATGCTGGGTATCGTAGCTGCCTCGATTTTTTGTGACGGTTCTTGGATGATGTTGAGGCTTGGGGTTTAGGACTTAGGATGGTTTAGGGCTCCTTTAAGGATTCCTTTGAAAAGCTGCTATCAGGGGCAATGTAGTATTACTAAACTGCAGTTCGAGTCGTGAGGTTCAGAACTCATCTGAGCCCGCACCGTAAGGACCCCCAATTCAAAACCTTACATCCTACGCCCTGAACCCCAAAAACATAAACCCATAGTGTGTATGCGTGGACGTATGTCATGTGAGTCAGATGCATATGTACATATATACCGAGAGAAAGAGAGAAACATAGAGAAGAGAGAGATTCTGAGAGTGAGCGAGAGAGAGAGAGAGAGAGAGAGAGAGAGAGAGCGAGAGACAGAGAGAGAGAGAGAAACAGAGAGAGAGAGAGAGAGAGAGAGAGGGGGAGAGTCTCTGTCTGTGTGTGTGTGTGTGTCTGTGTATGAATGTGTATATATATATATATATCTACATATATATACATGAATCCCTATATTCTTCTACAAATATTGGTGCCTAGTTACTTGCTTATCTTCAAAAAGGCACCCGACCTCTCCTGCACTCTGAGGCAAAAAGACTCCACCGGTGGCTCAATACAAACACTGTGCCCGAAGCCTTCGTCTCGAGGGTGTGGGGTTCCGGGTTTAGGGTTGAGGGTGTAGGTTTTGGGGTCTGGGGCTTAAGGTATGGAGCTTTGGTATCCGAAAGCCCTCCCTGCAGCCAGGTGTTTCTGCAGCGCAGGGAGGTCATTTCGTTTGATTCGCGTGCAAGACAGCACGTTGGCTGTGGCCAACCGGCTTCGCCGGATCGCGATGCATCCTGGGCACAGGGTTTAGGGTTTAGGGTTTAGAGTTTAGGGTTTAGGGTTTAGGGTTTAGGGTTTAGGGTTTAGGGACAGCAGCCTTCACAAGACCAAGACTACGCTTTGGAGGTTTTTTCTATCTTAGGAACAAGATCGGGAGCTTCAAGGGATAGTATCACGAATGACTCAGGCCACTAAGCCCTCTGACCTCTACCCTATAGGATGCCTGAACGCCTTCGGAGAGCCTGACAGCTCCGAGCTTCGGGCTCGCCCCGGAAAGGAGGGTGGCCGGCCATTTAGGGTTTAGGGGTTTAGGGGTTTAGGGGTTTAGGGTTTAGGGGTTTAGGGGTTTAGGGGTTTAGGGGTTTATTGTTTAGGGGTTTAGGCGTTTATTGTTTAGGGGTTTAGGGGTTTAGGGGTGTAGGGGTTTAGGGTTTAGGGTTTAGGGAAAATGCTAACTTCTCCCGGTGCCGAGACTCTCCTGGGTTTGAGAGTGGTTTCTTAGGGCATATAGCGGCCCTAACCGCCAACAACCCCATGCCGGAAGCCCTGAACTCAATATGAACCCTGCAAAGATCTGGACGTGGGTTTAGGGTTGAAAGGGCTTAGGGTTTATAGGGTTTAGGGCTTAGGGGTTTACAGGGGTTTAGGGGTTTAGGGTTTAGGGGTTTAGGGGTTTAGGGTTTAGGGTTAGGGATCCGGGTTCCTTTGCGGGTGGCCCGCAAGGAGGACCAAAGGTCAAGGAAAAAACAGCCGAGGCTTAAAACCAAGGCTGTATCTATCGCAGCATTTATGGGTACTCCTCCCTCTGCCCCATGGTAGTGCGTTGGACACCCCCTGCCCGGTGTGGGGCGACTTCTCCTTAACGTGAGGTTTAAAAAAAAAAACGCCTTAGAGAGCCGCGCAACCAAGACTTACACGGCGACAGGGCAGGAACGGAGAGAAACCACCGTGCGGGGGGTGGGCGGAAGTGGTAAAGCGAAATTCAAACAAGTCCCCAAAGCCAAAGAATCCCAAACCCTGACATATCTAAACCCGAAACCGTTCAATTCCCAAACCCCTCAACTGACAAACGGTTTAGCCTTCGACATTCAGCTTAGGGGGCAAGGCTCACAGTTTAAAAGCACCGGCCCTAAACTATGGGAAATTTTGTATATTCCTTATTATGGGTAATGCAGACCCTACACCCTAAACCCTAAACCCTAAGCCCTAAACCCTAAGCCCTAAACCCTAAACCCTAAAACAGGATTTGTTAACATCAACCCTACGATCCCTAAACCCTAAACCCTAAACCCTAAAACACTAAACCCTAACCCCTAAACCCTAAAACAGGATTTATGATCATCAACCCTACGATCCACGGGTCCTTTCTGAGTCGGCTTTCTCTTTGGCACGGGCCTCACGCGAGGCCTGGGCATCTCTCCGAGGGGTTTTGCAGGCTTGTGGCTTCGGGTTTACGGTTTAGGGCTTAGGGTTTAGTTTAGGGTTTAGGGTTTAGGGTTTAGGGTTTAAGGTTTAGTTTAGGGTTTAGGGTTTAGGGTTTAGGGTTTAAGGTTTAGGGTTCAGGGGTGTAGGGTTCAGGGTTTACAGGGTTTAGGGTTTAGGGTTGAGGGCTGGTTCGGGGCCAAACCCTGTGAAACTTGAGGGTTTGGGGGTCTGGGCTGTAGAGAAGGTTTTGAGTTAACGGATCAGGAAACGTGCTAAGCAGGGTTATAATTATAATTGCCTGAGTTAGTTGGGCTCTAAATAGAGAGAACTACGATTGCGGTTCCCTTACTTTTCATACGTACCTACCAGGTCCCCTGGTCTTCTGAGCAAGGTTTTCAATTTCTTCTGGGGGATCAGGGTGCTGGAGGTCTCGGGTAGCCTGCAAGCAACCTCTACTTTGCCTTCAAGCCCCAAACAGCTCGCAGACCCCTTCCATGCTGGACGAAACGGCATGAAGCTCCGCAGAACCTCTATAAACCCCCACTACACCCCGTACGCGCTCAGCAACCCGGCATTCACCAACGCTCTTTCGTGTTTTGTTCAGTCCAGGGTCCCCTCTACCCCCGAAGCTGCCCCCTGAGCCCTAAACCCTAAACCCCTAAACCCCTAAACCCCAAGAAAAGGCTTCAATCACACCCTAAAGGCGAAGCCCCAAGGCCCAAAAAGGGTGGAGAGGGGGGAGCCTTCAATAACAAAGGATCCCAAAAAAAATGTTCAGGGTTTAGGGTTCAGGGTTTAGGGTTCAGGGTTTAGGGTTTAGGGTTCAGGGTTTAGGGTTTAGGGTTTAGCGCGAAGTGCCAGGATCGGCATTGTCACAAGCTCCCACACCTACGGCCCCCAGGTCCTTCTGCCATTTGAGGAGAAGTCCCTTAAATTCGGGATGGCTTGCTGTATGATTTCGAGGTCGCTTCTTGAAAACTCAATTCGATGACGAACGGCTTGCCAAGACCGAATGACTAGGACCCTAAACCAACCTACCCGTTTTAAGGACTCATGCAAGGAAATCACAAGCTAAAACGAAAAGAACCTGAAACTGTGGGTCACCTTGGGTTCATGCAATTTCCTACCTGCCGGGCTCGGGCTCGCCTTATTTGGGGGTTTCCGAAAATAGGGGACCCCAATATAGTACCCTGAATAGTAGGATCCTTCTTATAAGGACCCCTAAATAAGGTACCTTAATTTTCGGAAAGCCTCATTTCGGAAGGTTGCTTCCAGAGCGGCTTATGGGGCTTCCTTGGGGCAGCTTGGTGGGTCTTATGAGTTGGAACAGGGTTTTGGGGTATTGCAACTGTCTTTAGGGGTATCAGCACGAATAGTGAATCGAGCCCTCACCCCTGAACGCTACGCCTCAGAACTCCTAAACCCTCAAACCCTGAAACCTACAACCACTAAACCCTAAACCCCTAAACCCTTATAGATCCATTTGAAGGAACCCACCCTTGTGGATCCCTCTTAAAGGAACCCTTATAGACCCGTCTTGAAGGAACCCTTAGAGATCCCTCTATAACAACACTTGTAGACCCCTCTTAACGGAACCCTTATAGATCCCTCTAAAGGAACCCTTCTAGATCCTTCTACAGGTAAACCCTAAAACCCTAAACCCCTAAACCCTAAATCCTAAACCCGAAACCCTAAACCCTGAACCGGAAGTTCCCGAACTGGGTCGCCTTCTGTCGGCGCAAAGCCTCCTCGAGCTTCTCGTTCTTTGGGGCGAGGACGAAGCTGCCTTGAAGCAGATGCAGGGTTTAGGGTTTAGGGGCTTTTGGGTGTGAGGTTTAGGGTTTAGGCTTTTTTCGTTGAGGGCCTTTTTGGGTTTAGGGGTTTAGGGTTTAGGGCTTAGGGTTTGTTGTAGCTTAAGGTTTTGGCTTAAGGTTGTAGGGTTTCAGTTTAAGGCTTTCTTGTGCTTCCATTTGGCTTTACATCGCTCTACATGACTTAAACGTCTTTTACATAAGGTTCTAATGATATGAGGGTCTCCCTAATCAGAACAGGGTGGTTGGGCATTTTTTATTGCATTCTCTGCGTTCTGGTGCAGCTTGGTTATAGGAAATACTTCATCATCATCGCCCTAGCAATCGTAATGGCTGAAATAAAGGCAGCTGAAATGGCAATGACCAGACCTGTGAAAGTAACAAACGATGGCGAGTTCCCAAATCTACATGAAGCTTCTCTATAATCTACAAGACGGTCCTGCAAGTAGCCACATACTTGCCGTTATATGGTACCTGTTAAACAAAAATAATCCAATCATTCAAAACTCTAACATGCAGCGAAAAAACACCTTAGAAATTCTCCCAAAAACCCAACACAAACCTTATGAAAGCGTGTAAACCCTTCTAAGACCCTTAAACCCTAAACCCTAAACCTTATAGCACTGATGGCTCCTCTTTAAAGGGCGGGGGGCCCAGGCGGTGTTTCATGAGCTCGCGCTGACGCTCTGCTTCTTGAATGAACTCCTCGGAGAGAGGGCTTAGGGTTTAGGGTTTAGGGCTTAGGGTTCAGGGTTTAGGGTTTAGGGTTTCGGGTTTAGGGTTTAGGGCGTAGGGCGTCTTGACAAAGAGGGAAGAGCTTATGGTTAAGGGTTTAGGGTGTAATATGGGGGCCTTAATAATTGGGCTAGGGTTCTGGGGCATATTATACTATAATCCAATTAGAACAAAGAACCCCCAAAAGAGTATTCGTAATTACTCAAGCCCGCGTATTAGGGTCTTACCGGGGCTTTGGGTTTGCAGAGACCCTTAACCCCGAACCCGAAACCCTAAAAGCCCACAACCCCAAAACCCTAAACCCTAAAACCCTCTAAGAACCCCAAACCCTAAACCTAAAAAAAGAAGCCTAAAGCCCCTGCACCCCCAAACCCTAAAACCCGAAACCCTAAAAGAACCTCAAACCCTAATGCCCCCAAACCCCTATAAACCCTGAAACCTGAACGCCCTCCACCTGATCTCTGCCTCCGAGGTGCATGGATGCGGGACTCCTGAGTTGGCTCGGCCGACTATGGACGTCCAGCTTTGGGCGTAGGGTTTAGGGCTTTAGGGTTTAAGGCTTTTTGCTGTTTTGAAGGCTCTGTTGCATCTACACGAAGTTCGGCCTACACCAGCCTCGTGTCAGGCTTTAAGGCTTTGTTGGTGGTTTAGGGCTTCTTTTCCTTAGGGTTTAGGGTTTAGGTCTTAGGGTTTAAGGCGTCAGGGTTTAGGGTCTTGGGGCTGTAGAGCTGCAGAGCATTAGGGTTTAGGGTCGTAGGGGTTAGGGGTTTAGGGTCTTAGGGTTTGTCTTGGACTTTGGGTTTAGGCTTAGGGGGGACTCTTTAAGGGGGTTCTATCATGAATGGCTCGGGTTCAAGGTTTCGGTTAGGGGTGCCTTCTGGTCGGTATCCTCTAGACCTCAGCCCTACATCCTAAACCCTGTATAGGCGCAGTATGATATGTCAAATGATGAGGCCTTGCATAGGTTCGGCGAGTGTTTCCATGTTTTGACTGTTGGAAGCGGGCCTGGGGCTTATGATCGTCTAGTTATCTGAGGACTAAACACCTGGTGGCCTCCAGGTGATCTCAACTGGCGGCCCTGGTCGTCTTGTTCGTCGCGGTGCTCTTTCACTACTTGGTCATCTGCACACAGTTACTGACTATCCCTAAACCCGTATAGCACTCTCAAGCAACCCTCGTAAAGTCCGTCTCGTGCTATTGCTGGATTTTGCCTCTGCATCAGGCTTCCCTGCTGGATGTTCAGGTGTAAGGACCTTAATAATGAAGAGGGTCCATGGGGTCCATGGTGGGGAAAGCTTTGGCACCTCCCTGCACTCCAGCTCCTAGGACCCCAAAACCCCAAACTGCTAGACCCTAAGCCCTAAACCCTAAACCCTAAACCCTAAGCCCTAAACCCTAAACCGTGCTAACCCGAAGCACCAAGCTGCTAAGCTCCAAACCCTGAGCTGACAAGCTTCCATGTTGTCCCGCGTCTCGCGTCTCTTCTCGCGGGCATCTGCGCGCGCCGCCTTTACCTCGCCGGGGCCAAGCCATGGACGTAACAAGGGTTTAGGGTTTAGGGTTTAGGGTTTAGGGTTTAGCAGTGATCTAGGATTTAGGGGCTAGGGCTTTAGGGTTGAACGCTTAAGGTTTAGGGCTTTTCAGGGTTTGAGGGTTTGGGGCTCGGGGCTTTGGGTTTTGGGGTTTAGGGCTTTGGGGTTGAAGGGCTTTTAGAGTTTAGGGCCTTAGGGGTTAAGGGTGACGATGGCAGCAGTGTTCAAGTTGAGGTGCCTTCGTAATGCGACATTCGACCAGGGTTTCGGGGTATATATTACGACTGTATAAAGACTATAAACTGCTGTAGACAGACTAGAGCTAGGAGAAAGATCGGAAAAGGGCAGTCAGCGAGTGCTTCGGTTTGTAAGCAGGAGTATTTCTATTATCACATAACATTATCCAATACATTAGACAACACAATATGTAATCATTTAATACAAGAAAGTATAATTTACAGTACAGTATGTAACATAAGTTAGCATCGGACAAACTACAATAATCTGCCTCTTCGATGATGGACTTGAGGAGGTCCACATCAAACTTCACCCGCAAGTCGTTGCCCTTGCCTGGGCTGCTTGCTGGTTTGGGCTGAGGCTCTTGTGTTCAGGCGTTAAGGGTTGAGGGTTTAGGGCTAGAGGGTCCGAGATTCAGTGCTTAAGGGCTTCGGGCTTCAGGCTTGCCTTGCATGCCGGACAGAGGGGGTGAGGCCTGAACAAAATGGGGGGCCCCATTCAAGACTTCTGGTCCAAAGTAGAAAAAAGGGGCGCTTAAGATGCTCTCACTGGCTATTTCGAGATGTATGCGAGGTGGCATGCGTCTTACAGATGTGTCTCTTGGCCCTGGGTGCTCGGATGGCGGGCTGCTAGACAGAGCGCAGGTCTTGGGTTGGGTCCCTGACAACTTCACGACAAAGAATCTACCGAACAGACGCAGAAGGAGTACGTGTACTGCGTGTCCTCTATTAGACTCTATCTGTCTCTGCACAACATACTCCAAGACCCTAACCCTACAGCATAGATCGTGAACCCGAACTCGAACTGAACATGTACTTTCAGACATGTATATATATATATAACTTATATATACATATACATACATATATATATATATAATGGTTCAGGTGCCGAGGGCTTCTAGCATTCAGAGTGAATTTCTCACCAGCCGCTGAACAACTTCCCAAGAACTCTAAACCCTAAGCCTCAAATATCCCAATCCCCCAAACCCAAACCCCCCAAACCCTTAAACCCCTAAACCCTAAACCCTTAAACCCCTAAACCCTAACCCTAAAACCCCTAAACCCTGACCCCTAAACCCTCAAACCCCGAAACCCTAAACCCCAAACCCTTAAACCCCTACACCCTAAACCCTAAACCCTTAAACCCATAAACCCCTGAACCCTAAACCCCAAACCCCCAAACCCAAACCCCCCAAACCCCTAAACCCCTAAACCCTAAACCCAAACCCTTCAACCCCTAAACCCCTAAACCCTGACCCCTAAACCCCAAACCCCGAAAAAACCATCAAACCTATGGCTGCCAGGCCCGAACTCCAGACCTCCGCAGACCAAAACCACAACCCTCAAGTCAACTGAAGCCTTCAACTATATATTAATTGTATTACATTATACTGTATTATATTATATATATATACTTATTTACAATGCAATATAATATATAGTACAGTATAACTACCAAAGCCTAAGTTGGTAACCCTAAAGGTTTAGGGTTTGGGGCTTTCAAGTAAACTCTGAAAGAAAGGCCCTGAAACAGAACAACGAAAAGCCCACCCCCACAAGCCCGAAAACTAGAAATTCTGGCTTCCTGACATGAAGACTGCTGAATATGAATTATCACATATAGTTGATGTATGATCTATAACCAAATATCATCTATAGCACTTTCCCTCAAGAACAGCCCTCTCTCCCTCTCTCTCTGGGAAACCCGAATCCTGGCACCCGGCCCCCTTCCCGCCGATGTCCAACAAAGAAACAACACGAAAGCTAATCCCTGCACCCCTAAACCCTCCAGTAACCCCCCAAACACCCCTAAACCCTCCCCTAAAACCCCCTAAACCCCCCAAACGCCCTGAAAGCCGGGTCGTGTGGCGCGCAAAGTCGGGGGAGTTCAGCTTGACCTTCAGCTGCGGCCATCGTCGAAGCACCTCGAGCCAGACCTTGTGTCTAGGGTTTAGGGCCTAGGGCTTCGGGGTTTTGGGGGTTTAGGGGCTCAGGGCGCAGGATCCAGGGTTTTATAGGGCTTAGGGGTTTGGAGCTTCGGGGGTTTTGGTGTTGAAAGGTAAAGGACTCTATAGCACGACAGTAAGGGCTGCTACAAAGGGTCATTATAGGGCGTGTTATAGCGGATACGGTAAGGGCTACTATAAAGGTTAGTATCAGGCTTCTACCAGGAATTTAGGTATGCGTTTCGGTGGGTGTACTTTTTGGGTTTTAGGGCGGTAGACCTTACACTATGGAGAGCTCCTTGACATAATTGATTTTAACGGTTTCAACCTCTAGCCACCAGCAAAGACCAGATCCTAAATCCTGAAACCCGTGGCCCAAGACCTAAACCCTACACCCCAGACCCCTAAACGCCTACAAGAAATACACTGCCTTTTTGGTACTACACTTAACTCTACATCCTAAATCCCAAACCCAAGACTCCAAAAGGCTTCAAACTCCCTTGGAGCCCAGGTGCATCCCACGAGCAATTCCCTTCCGGAGCCGAGCTCTGCAGTCGATTTAAGAGACGAAGGTGCGAGTCCTGCGGTGAGGTCTACGAACTCGACGGTTTGAGTTCTTTTCAGCTGTGCTGATGTATGTGTGTGTGGTTTTAGGCTTTTCTGAGCTTGGGGTTTTGAAACATGCGAGCTTCAGGGCTTGAGCATTGTGGTTTGCTTGGATGGGATCCGGGTGTGAGTGGCGGCATCTCTGAACTCCCGAAATGCGGAAGCATATTCCGTGAATGGAAAAATAGACGAGGACTCGGCAGCTACTCCACGAACAGTCGAACACTGCTTGAGAACCAGTCGTCTGGTAAGGGGGGATTGGGCTGTATGGGAAATCCTGTGAGGTTGGATGTGTTGGAAAGTTTCTCGTCCTGTTGCCTAGAGGACGGCGGCGAGAGGCTTTTCCGGATGTTCGCACCAGAACAGTGTTGTAGGGGTTTAAAGTTTAGGGTTTAGGGATTTGCATGCACCTTCTCAAGTGGGAGCGGGAGCAGAAGGCAACACCTGCAACCATGCCTCTGCTGAGACATCGGTGAATTTCAAAAACTCTTCAATCACGCGAGCCCGGGAATGCAATAGAGCGAAAGAGCCGTAAACCCTAAACTCAAAACTCGAGATCAAAGGGTCGACACGGCACCGGCTAGGGTTCCGGAACCGTAACTCAAAGGTCACTCACCCTGAGCCGCGTTAATCCTAAACCCATATCCTGACCGGAACCCGTCTTGGCCATAACCATGACGTACCCCCAACACTGTTAACCCAGTGTTAAACAGCTCCTGTTCGTCTTCCGAGCTGGCGTCGGACTCTTCCTCGCCCTCGTCGTCCGCATCCGCGTCGTCCTCGCTGCTCTCTACGAGCTCGAGGCGGACGAAGCCACCTGCGGAGTTGGGATCAACACCCCCATAATTGGTTACGGACTATAAGGGGATGTTGCTAATAACTCCGACCTCTATATATCAAGGTTCCGGGGTTCAGGGTTTTGTGTTTGCGGTTTCAGGGCTTAGGTTTGGGGTTGCAGAGTTTACGGGTGCGGGATTTCGGCGTTTCAGAGTGTACGGCTGGGAATTTCACAAGGTGAAGGCCTGGGAGAGGCTCAGACATGCAGGGTTTGACATGATTAGCAGTCAATGTAGCATTTCCGATCGAGAAACTATCATAAAACGTCTCCTGATTTGGGGGAAAGTGCGCGCACGCATGCCTTCTCGCCGTCTAACTTGCACAGCGCCGGTATTCTTGCCGAACTGTCTCTGGATGCTCACGCATGGCTGTTCTCAAGTGCGCTTTCATGCATCGCACGAAACAGGAGTCGCAGAGCCACGAGATAGGAAAGAGAGCCTGCCGGCACAGCACAGCGAAATCTGACCGACTCGCAGGTTTGCGTCGCTCAGCGCCAGTACTGGATGGTTCATGCCCCAGATTCTGCATCTGGAGAAAAGGTCTGGAGAAAAGGAGGGACGGTCTTCGCTTTTTTCCATGAAGCCAAAGTGCCAGAACGTGTGTGAGCAATAGACACTCGTCGCAGTCTCTGCCCATGCCCGAAGGAGATACTGTAAGTCGATGAGCCCACCGTGCCAGAACTGTCCCTCTTGCACAGCTTCCCCAGAGATGCATGTTGCATGCTGTTATGGGCAACGCTTTCGGCAAACTCGCAAGCCAGGGAGTTACACATGGCAGCACAGTTATGAAGTCGACACAACATCGAGGATCAGAAATTCCGCCTTGCAGATCATGATGTACGAGTGCATTTGTGCTGACGAGTGTTGTTTGTTGCAATGACTGTGCGTAGAACACCTTCAAACAGAGACCATGGAATCCTAATGCAGACCACCAAACACCGATTGGAGAGCACGCTCGCGGCGACGCTTTTTCAAGTCAAGATGCGAAGGCAACAATGTTGAAGTGAGCGGGGGCCCGACAGAAGTAGGCATCCACACCTATCTCGGCTTCAACTGCAAGAGCATGACTCATGTTGCCTGCATGAAATGATTGGGCTGAAGCCGACACCCAGGGATGGCGAGCTGGGATGAAGACCAACAGCAACGAATCTTGCAGCACATCGGCCCAGCACCCCACTGCCACCACATGCACGAATCTCTGCTTCGAAGTTGAGCTGCTTCGCACGCTTAGGCACTTTCGTCTTTCAGGCATTGACTGCTGCATTCGGCACAACTTCACCAAAGCAGTTCATTGGGCCTGTTTCCTTCTCAATGAGATCGCTGCCCATTCAGCACTGCAGGCTGGGAGACTCGCTGTCGCAGGCACCGTCCAGAAGAAGCGCGAAAGTCTTGGCGATGAACACCTTCCTTGGGCTGCCAAGGACCACCCTGTGCTGGAGCCACCAATGCTGCCCGAGGCTCCCCATCTACATCAATACCATTGTGGGCATACCAGGATAGGGAACTCCCGAAGAAGAGTGTGAGGACGAAGCAAAGCACGTGAGCACGTCCCCCGGATTGTAGACACAAAATCACGAAGCAATGAGGTGCTCTTTGCCGATGCCAACCTGTCGATACGCCGACTTAAAGTCAAAGCAAAGGACGACCGGTCCTTTTCAGTGCCAGCAGCCACTGGCGAATAATGGCTTCAGCCGCGCTCACGGACTTCACACGCAGCTTTCCTCGCAAACCTGTGCAGAGGTTGATGTGACTATGTGACTGGCAGAAACCATCAATCACCTGGTTCTTGTCCTTTCGAAAGACGGCGAAGCAGCGAGGCACCACCTCTGACACCTGGGTAGCTTGAGACCACCCACCCATCCCTTCGTGACCTGTGCCCAAGTGGACTCTCACAACTCGCGGTCGACCTCCACACAGCGGGACTTGGTGCAGGAGCTGGGAAATGCGCTTGTTCATCTCCTTGGCCATACGCTCCAAGTCGTCCCGACGTAACGGCAGCGGGTCCGCAAAACACAGAGAGTTCTAACCGACCAAACAACGGAAAGCCTGACAAAGGCGATGAACCAGAGACTTATCAGAATACTGCATTTTCGCCAAAGGCTCGACAAGGAACAGGATGCTTTTGCCTTGCATGACTTTGACCAGGCTCGCCGGCATGTTGGTGTTTAAACTATCCATTGGCTCGAAGGGCGCATCGACTGCCGCAGCAAAGAGGCAGGTCCTGTCACGAAGCAGCTCCACTTTCCGGAGGCGCCCGGCACGCGTCCGGCTGGTAGGATTCCACTCAACATAGGGAACTGGTCGAACTGCTTCGGGGCCAAGAAATCAGTGAGCAGCGGCGGTATGCATTGCACTGGCGGTGGAGAGGACACATCGTTGCGCAAGCCAGGAAGGACCACTGTGGACACGTAGGGGGAGGCAGGTGCAGAATGCCACGCTCCAGGTTCCGGGGCGACGCAATCGCACGCATGCCTCAGAGACAGACAGCTCAGGAACACCAGACTCACCAGACCACTGTACCAAATCAGGGGCCGCAATGGAGAAGCAAATCTGGCAAGGTGTGGTGTGAAAAACGTCGTTCGAGGGCAAGGCTCGCTGTGCGGCAATGAAGTTGACTTTATTCGCCGCCCTTTTCGGTCATGTGAGCCTGGGTCCGCGTGCACAGTTTATGCCGAAAGGACATGATTTATTGATCGCCCCATTCTGTACTGCACAGGCCCGGGCTGCAGCAAGGCGTACACTCGGCTCCAGAGCTTGCCACCGGTGTGGTCACAACCAAGAACCGAGGTCCACAACCTGCGCCGTGTGGATAGCTCCATGCACTGATTGCAGACTCACTCCAGAACCTTGCCCACTTCATCGCAAAGATCCGGAAGCATGAAGACCACAGAAAACGGAAGTGAGTCGCAACAGATCTGCAGCCAGAGACTTGAGACTGAAGGTGGTGCAAACTAATGCATGTGCAAACCTGGAAATTTCGCAACCTGAGATGTCCCATCAAACGCGCTTGCGCAGGCCGCAACAGACAGGTCAGGGCGGAATTTCTGGAATGCCACGTCGAGGGCTTTTGAACCGGACTGTCTCATCATGCTGGATGCTGGACCCGACATTGTCCGAAACAAGTTTCCACAACTGCTCTGCAGAGGGCTCTGAGTGGATGGCGTGTCATGTGGGCAAGAATTTCCTTGGGCTTTGAGCCCCTTTGACCCCAAACTCGAGATGCTCAAAGTGTATGCGAAATGGCTGCTGGGAGACGCATGATGGGACCAGGCGGCGCAAGTCGGAAGCACTGAAACAAACACTCCCTCGGGGCCCTAGTGTCATCCTTAGACCGCCGAAGCCTTAACCCGTCGAACCCGAAGTCAAAGCCTGTTGGGTGGGTCGCCGGAGCTTTCCCAGCCGCTGTGGTGCCTTAGTTGGGAGGAGCAGGGGGACAATGGTCTTGGGACTTAGGGCTGTGGTCATGATAACCGCTGCACTAGCTTAGTAGCAGTAGTCAATACCGACAGCAAGTGTGAATGGACAAGAAGACAGTCATCACTAGCATAAGAATAAAGAGAATAACGGTCAGAAGATCTTTTCAACAGTCTTGATGTAGCAATGTATAACATCTCACATCCTAAACTCTAGACAAGTGCAAGCATAGACCCGAAAAAAAGGTGAAAGAATATCCAGCAGTTGACGCCTTGCATACCCAAGAACCACGCCAACCCTCACAATCCACAATATACGGGCCGTAACAACTAGATTCCTAGATATAAGGATGACTATAGGAATTCTATAAAAATGTAGAAGCCTTAATAATGGGAATAAGCGTTGGGGGAATCTTGTATTCTACACATGATATTTAATTCATCCGGCCATTGTGTTAGGACGCCTTCGAACCTTGCTCTCGAGAAAGTTCCGAATGTCGCAGCCCAAACCAGCAAAAATCGCTCAGGGGTGCAGGGTTTAGGGTGTAGCGCGTGCTTAACCTTGCGAGACGGGGTTGAGACGTTAGGCTGGCTGGTCTGGCGCCAAAAATATCACAGTTTGGTCCCAGACCTCATGGATGGTTCTCTAAATTGGGGTCCCCTTTTAGGAACCCAAAAGAAGTAAGAGAACCCTAGAAGGAACCCAGATTTAGCGAACTACCGTCCTGTCGTGAGCCTAGACACCCGTTGAGCTGGGCCCGACCAGTGCAGCGGCGGGCTTGAAAATCCTCAGCTGTTCTTTGTCTCAGCTTGTTCCGGCGTCCAGGGTGTCGGCTATAAGGGTTAAAAGACAAAGCCTAAATCCTAAAATCCTAAAAGCCCCAATGCCCTTGACAACCCAGAGCGTAACTTCCCGCCCCCAAGCCTTAAACCCTAAACCCCAAACCCCCACAACCCTGCAAGCGGAGAGTTCCAAAACCAAAGCAAATCAGGGTCAGGGCATGGTTTAGGGTTTGTGTGCTTAGGGCTTGGGGTTTAGGGATAAAGCGTCTTTGTCTGCTAACGGCTTAAGCGTTCAGGGTTGTAGGATTAAGGGTGCGTAGACAAATATTTTCACTGCTAGAACCGATCAGGCGTTATCCATTTCCCGACCTGTCAGAGGTTAGCATGCGGGCCGAGGGTTTAGGGTTTAGGGCTTAGGGTTTTAGGGCTTAGGGTTCGGGTTCTTGCTCCACAAGCCTCAACACCGCCAACCCGGAATCCCGCAGCCCACACCCTTAACTCTAAGCCCTACAAACCCCACACACACAAACTGCAAGGGAACACACAAACACAAAGATCCCACAAGGGTTTCCAGAATCCACCCTAAACCCGAAACTCGTGTTGTGGTCAAAAACGGTCACCATCATCGAAATCGTCCCTTTGTTGACCATTCTACACCCGTCCCGGGGTGACCCCACATCGCCGGGTGACTGTGCAGCTAAAGGCTTGCGGGACTCCGCAGGGGCGTCCTGTTGGAAGCAGCTTGCTGGCTGAAATGGCTGAGGATGTTCAGGGTTTTTTTCGGTGGCTTCTTATAAGGGTTCTTTCCAGACGAGATGCAGGAGTTGCGGGCGAACGTAGGAGCGGCTGAAGTCTCTAAAATCTCGTCTAGTGTCTAAGGCTCAGCCACCTAAGAGAACTCCACCCTGGAGCCCCTCAACTCGCGGCTGGAAATTCGAGGTTTAGGGCTCAGGGCGCCGGGTTGGGAAGGACCTTCACGGTTTAGGGTTTCGGGTTTTAGGATTTTAGGGTTTAGGGTCTAGGGTTTTTCATCCCTCAACCCTAAACCCTAAACCCCCAAACCCCACAAGCTCCACAAACGTATTCGGGGCCCTGAGGTTAAGCTAGGAACCCGAGAGCGCAGCGAGCCAAAGCCAAGCTGGGAAAGCCCAAACCCGGGAGCATTAAGGTTTAGGGTTTATAGGGTTTAGGGTTCTTTTAGGGGTTTAGGGTTTAGGGTTTCGGGTGGAGGGTTTAGGGGGTTTAGGGNNTTTAAGGGTTAAGGGTTTAGGGCTTCAGATGGCGCGTCTAGGGTTTAGGACTCTCTGGCTTTGGGGCTTGGAGTTCGAGGCTGGCGCGAAACCCGGTAGCCTCGCCGACCCTGCTGGACGGTAATACTCGTCCAGGGGGGTTAAACATCCTTTGGGTTTAGGGCTTAGGGGGTTTAGGGGTTTAGGGTTTAGGGAGTTTAGGGTCTAGGGAGTTTAGGGTTTAGGGTTTAGGAAAGGTTCTTAAGAGGGATCGTGGTGAGGATGTCAAGGCACTTGTCTCCAAACGCCTCCAGTCGCTCTCGCATCGTGGGGAGACGATGGTCTACTCAGCCTGGATACTATGGGGGCCTGCATAATTAAGAAAGGGTGTAGAAGCGGTTTCGGGGTATGGTTTAACTATACTGGCACTTTAACTACTATGATTCCACTCAGGAACTGTAAGACATGATAGTGGTGATAAGTCGCTTCTGGGGTACAGTGACATGCCACGGGCCGTGCACTCCCGGGACTCCGGTGGTCCACTGTCTGCCTGGCCCACTGTGGCAAGGCCCAGGGTAGCCGGAGTACAAGTTGTTCAAGCCCTTTCTTACCGAAACCTAAACCCTCAACTTCCTTTATCAAGGAGCACCCGACAACCTTAAACATGTCCTAATCCGAAAACCCTGAACCGTATACCCTAAAGTCATAACCCCATTGCACCCTGAACCCTAACCCTCAACCCCTACACCCTAAACCCCGAACCCTAAACCCTAAACCCGAACCCTAAACCCTAAACCCCGAACCCTAAACCCTGAACCCTAATTCCCTGGACCCGTAAACCCCAAAGCCTAAACCGTTAAACCCCTCAACGCCCCCTGAACCCGAAAAGCTGACCAGCTCCCCTCTGTCCTCTGCCATCTTCTGGCTGGACACCTTAAGTGCCTTACGCATCGCCTGAAGAAACCGAGGGCCGGCGGTTTAGGGTTTAGGGCTTCTGGGTTTTTGGGACGGCTCTCCGGGTTCAGGGATCAGGGTTTAGGGTTTCGGGTTTAGGGGTTTAGGGTTTAGGGGTTTAGGGTTTAGGGTTTAGGGGTTTAGGGTTCAGGGGTTTAGGGTTCAGGGCAAGCCCAAACCGCAGACCAGAGGCCTCGGGGCGGAGAACTTTGGCTCGGAATGTTTCGACGCCTAGAGAACCCGAAGCCCCACACACGACTCCACCTGACTTGGGGTGGGGGCTTAAGGTCTAGACTCCAAGGCTTAAAGGTGTAGGGTTTAGGGTTTAGGGTTTAGGGTTTAGGTAGGCTTAAGGGTTCAGAGATCGAGTCTAGGGTATTGAATCAATCTTAGCGGTTAAGGCTTAGAGTGTAGGGTTTCAGGTTGAGGGTCTAGGATTATTTAAGGTGTAGAGTTCAGGGTTGTTGTTGGGGTTCAGGGCTTAAGGTGTAAGGCAATCAAGCGAAGTAAAGTCAGAGAAAGCTCGTCGTTTATGACGTGCTCCTTTCACTACTTAACCCCCATACCGACTTCCTGGTAGGTTACTAGCGACATTTAACTGCCGGACACTCAAGCCCAAAATCCCGAGACCCTAAACCCTAAATCCACAAAACCCTCAACCCTAAACCCTAAATCCAAAAAACCCTCAACCCTAAACCCTAAATCCAGAAAACCCTACTGGAGAGAACCCGGCATAGACTCTCGTAAAACGCTATGAAACATCTTTCGTCGACGATCTACTCAAGTCTCGTCCTTCTGACAGGGTTTGAGACGACGTAAGGACTCCGTACGTTCATTAGGCTTTGTTTCGCATGCATCGAAAATGTCGGCCTCCGTTAGAATGTGGGTGTGTCGGCGTAGTACAATGGATTCAAAGGGTGCTTATGGCGTTGTTCAAAGGGCTATCGCGGGGCTGTGTATGGGAGCTGTAGGGCGGACTGTGCATAGAACCTCCAATTTATCTTGGGCTTTCTTGCAAAATTTCGCACGTAGAAATTGCAAGGGCATAGAGTGCTGCTAACATCTAGATTGGGGGAACGGCGATCGTTAGGTTCACGACTTCGTGTTCATGGGCTGTTGGGTTGGTGGCTTTAGTGCACCCCAAACCCGATTCCCTAGGCCCAACAACCCCTAAAAACACAAGACTCGAGAACCCTAAACCCCAAACCCAACATGTTAGGCGCTTGACAATGAAACCTAAACCCACATGCGTACTAAGCTGGCACTTTACGGCCTCCGAGAAACATTCGTAAAGAAGATCCTCGTCAGCCCAATAAGGGAAAAATAATCATGATGTCCCAAAGGCCAACCCCGCTTACCAAAAGGCCAAAACGAAGTACAGTGATTCCCTAAGCCCTAAACGCTAAACCCTGAAGCCTAAACCCCCAAACCATAAAGCTCTTCAACAAGAATGATTTTTGGGTTTAGGGTTTTGGGGTTTTGGAACGAGTTCAGCCTGAAAATCTTCATCCACGGAGTCGTTTCCGGAGCTCTCCTCAGATACCAATGTGGCCATGGCTCAGGCTGTAGGTAGGCTTAGGGTTAGGGATTTGAGGCAGTGGCAGTAGTAGTAGTAGTAGTAGTAGTAGTAGGAGTAGGAGGTGTTGTTGTTGTTGTCGTCGTCGTCGTCGTTGTCGTCGTCGTCGTCAGGGATGGATCTTAGGCTTTGCGGCTTCGGTGCTTACAGTCTTTCACTTGTGGTGTAGGGTGTGATTTCAACAGACTCGCCTTCGGGTTGGGTGCAAGCTGCAGGGGCGAACATAAGGCATCTATGCGGCAAACCCGAAACGGCCCTGAACCCTAAACGAGAGCATAAACCCCTAAAACCTACATCCTAAACTCTAACCTCCTAGACCCCTGAGCCCTAAGCCCTGAACCATCAGAGGTCCACGGCGTTCGAGGTTTTTGTTCTAAGGTTAAGGCATGGCCTTTGGGTTTTGAGGTTTAGGGCTTAGGGTTTAGGGTTTAGGGTGAAGGCCTGTTTTGGAGGGGTTTGAGCTTAGGTTTGGGGTTGCAGACGAGCGCTGGTCTCTCCGCGCCTTTCTCGGGCCTTCGGCGGGCGTGGCTAGTGACGGTTACTGCCTCCCCTGCTACCGCTCGTAGCGACGTGCCGGGTGTGCACCAGCCACTGGCACCAAGCATTGTTTGATGTTGTACTTGTTGGCCTTGTTGTGGGTCCTCCGCCCCCACTTTCCTGCTTTTTCGGGCTGACTCAAAGGCAGATCCCTGGGGGCTGACAGTTCAAACTCATGTAGCTATCTAAAATAACCATCGACTAGAGCACGTGTACACGAGAGCGGGCTGATCCTAAAACTCAACCCCCAAAACCCTGAAATCGTACAGCACCTCAGGAAAGGCTGGAATTGCAAGTCAACAGGGTGCCGACCGTTCACCACTCGGCAAACCTCACACCAAACATCACGAGGTTGCAGTACTGGGGTTTAGGGTTTAGGGCTCCCAGGTCGAAGGGTTTGGGGTTTAGGGCTCCCAGGTCGAAGGGTTTGGGGTTTGGGGTGCACGCAGGCTTGGGGTTGGGGGTTGGAGGTTGGGGTTTGGGGTTTAGGGGCGAAATCGCTAGAGCCGAAATACAACGAGATGAGAATCCCATGCTGTAACCTGGCAGTTCAAAACCTGCGAAGACCCGACAAAACCCCTATGAACCCCCTTGTACAAACCCCTCAAAAAGCGAGAAGCATCCTACACCTGAAACCCGCTGAATTCCCACACCCCCCAAGAGAGGATAGGGGCCTTGATAATGAGCATCTGAAAGATTGCATTGGGATTAGAAGGGGATGCTATTAATGTAATTATTAATGAATTCTCCTACACCCTTAAAGAAACTTATAGAACCTTCACGATTGCCATCGAAAGGCATCCTCCTCCTCTGCTGCATGGCCGCGCCGCTCGTCACGGTCCGTCTCTGTGTCGCGGCCTCTCTTGCTTCAAGGACCATGGGACTTAGTAGCTAGGACTCTGAAGAAGGATTTAGGCTTTAGGGTTTAGGGTACCTCGATTTCTTGTGACTGGTATCCCGAATTACAGTACTTGAAGCCGCACTTGCTAAGTGACCGAATACGTTGCGGCAGGGCTTTTGCATGGGATTTCATAGGTGCCTGCTGTCGTGTCGAAAGGGTGTTGTTGAGGGCTTAGCAAAGCAATATAGGGACTATAAGGAGAGTACTACTACTGATTATTGTTCGTCAACCCTGAAAGAAGCCTCATAGAACCCTTAAATAGAACCTCTGTGGAGCCTTTGTCGAAACCTTATGAGAGCTGGAATCGAGGGCTCAGGGTTCCGGGTTTCGGGCACAGGACGGTCCAGCGCTCGGGGGCGTGGATCTGCAGTTGCCATCTTTGCCTACCCGCATCCGTCGGTCCTTTGCCTTGCAGAGCTGAGTTCCTAAGCCAGAAACATCGAGAGGTAGAGTCTACGTTAGGTCTTGTAGGGTTGTTTCTGGGGTGGTTGGTTTAGGACAGGATCTCGGCTATGCCCTGGCAACTTCGCTGCCGAGGCATGTCAGAAAGCTCGAAAACGCTTGAAAACAAATCACGAGCCGCATGAGACGAGCACTCTGCTGAGCATGCGGAAATCTGTACAGCCTTCACTGGAAGCCAAAATTGAAAAGTCGGAGCCTCAAGAATCAGTTCGAAAGACCTGCTGCAACTGCAACGTATTTCTTATAACGCTACTCAGCTCCCTTCTTAAGGCCGCTAGCCTTCGTCAAGAACCTGTCGTAGAACCCGAAAAGCGTTGTGCAACCCCTGCGAACCCTTGTAGAACCCTCGTGACACCCGCAATAGAAGCTATCAGACAAACTCAACCCTAAACCCAGCGCCGCAACACCCTCAAGTATTCGCACGGCCACCATAAAACTAAACAAGGCAGAACCGTCATAGAACCCTCATAAGCCCTGAAAACCCCATGATCACCGAAGACTTGTGGAAACCCCGTACGAAACAAAGGCCCAAAACCCTGGCCCCGCGGGCTCCTAAGAGACAAACTCTAAACTTTTTTGGGGTTTAGTAGGGTTTAGGGTTTTTAGGGTTTTTAGGGTTTTTAGGGATTTTAGGGTTTTTAGGGATTTTAGGATTTTTAGGGTTTAGGGTTTTAGGGATTAGAGTCACCCACTTCGAACAAGCATGCAACTTTGTAACTTGGCGACTTATATTTGGAGAAAGGGGCCGCAGACTCAGACCTAAACAAAATCCAACCCGTAAACCCGAAATCCTAAACTCCGAAGCCCAAAACTCTAAACCCCAAGGCCCTACAAAAACACCCAAAAAAAGGCTCTCAAGTCTGCTTCGCCGCCCTACCCTTCTTTTGGGGCTCCGGTCAGACAGACTCAGGCATTTCAGACTCCGGCTGCTCCAGGCCCTCTTCCGGCACTTCCAAGCTGGGGTCGTAGGTGCCAGGCACCTCCTGGCGTGTTTTTTGGGAGGGTTTAGGGTTTGGGGGTTTAGGGTTTAGGGTTTAGGGGTTTAGGGTCTAGGGGTTTAGGGTCTAGAGGTTTAGGGGTTAGGGGTTAGGGGTTAGGGTTTAGGGTTTGGGGGTTTAGGGTTTAGGGGTTAGGGTTTGGGGATTTTTTAGGGGTTTAGGGTTTAGGGTGGAGGGCTTCAGGGTTTAGGGGGTTCGGGTTTAGGGTTTAGGGTTTGGGGGTTTAGGGTTTAGGGTTTAAGGTTTAGGTTTAGGCAGGATTCTGATGAGGGTGTTCCGATGGCTGTCTGAGGATTGTATGCGTGTCTGATGACGGTTTATACGCGTTTTTGATCTTCTCTGTATCAGGGGTTGTATAAAAAGCTCTACAGAGGTTCTGTAGGGGCTTGAGGGTTTCGGGGCAAAGAACTAACCTAGAAACTGAGGTTCCAGGTTTAGTGCGGTGGTTTTGGGAAATCTGTGGGATAGGGTGTTGAATTTTCGGACGCCGGGTTATAAGAATGCCCAACATAGTTATACTTACTTATAGCCCTAATCAAACTACATGTAACCCTGCTCGCTGATCATTAAGCCCTCAACCGGAAGCCCCGAAAATAAAGCCCTGAAAGGTGCAAAACAACAACAAAACGCTTGACACCCAGAAAGCCCCGACACCCCTGTAACTGTATGATGCTTAAATCAAACATACAACATCTTAAGCTCAGAACCTTTTCTCCAAAAGCCTAATACATTGAGAGTGAAACTAAACGGCCCAAAACCCTTCATCCCAAATGCTAAACCCTAAACACGAAACCCTTACTAGGAAAAAATCCTAACCCCAAACCCTAAGCGCCAAATCCTATTGCCCTCTCGGTCCCTGTAAAGGAACCCCTTAGAGATCCCTTTAAAGGGAACCGCGTATTACCCAGAGAACCCAATACTCCTTAATTAAGGAATATACCTCAAATCATAATATTCAGGCCCCTATAATTTAAGGTATAGTATACTATTCCTTACCCTAAACCCTAAACCCAAAACCCCAAATAATAAACACTAAACCCTAAACCCTAAAACCCTAAATCCTAAACCCTAATTATTATGGGGTATTGGGTTCTCTGGGTAGGATATCCTAAGTTCCCTGCGCCTCCGCTGCCTCCGACTCCTCTGGAGCCTGAGGAGACTCTGGCTGATCTTCTTCTTGAGCCGGCCTTGGGTTTAGGGGTTTAGGGTTTAGGGTTTAGCGTTTAGGGGTGTAGGGTTGGTTTAGGGTTTAGGGGTTTAGGGGTTTAAGGGTTTAGGGTTTTGGGTTTAGGGGTTTAGGGGTTTGGGGTTTAGGGTTTAAGGTTTAAGTTTTAAGGATTAGGAATCAGGGCTTTAGGATGCCCTTCAAAGGGTTCCATTAAAAGGATCGATCTACAATGGATTAGGCCTTGGGATCTTGAATTTTGGACATCTGTCTAGGGCTCAGGGTTCGGGGTTTAGGGTTCAGCGTTTGGGATTTTGGCTTTGTTTTGAAGCTGAGAAGACAGGTGTGATTTTGGGGTTTACAAATCAAGGTGTTTTGGTGTAGGGTATAGGGTTCAGGGTATAGGGTTCAAGGTTCAGGGTTTAGTGGTTTAGAGCATTGCTGTACGAACAGGGCTCTCTTCATAATGGCAGTCTTGACTGGAGCTTGTCCTAGGCCCTCGACCTGAAAACAACTCGGAACCATAATCGGGTGCATGCAGATATCGCGATTTTCACAGGAACCTAGGAATTTAGAAATGGAGTCGAAAGTCGGAACAAACAGTAATCATACTGTTGATGATATAAATCCTGCATTACCAAAAGGACCCTAAACTATGAGAATTATGGTATATTCCCTCTTACGGGTAATGCAGGATTTTTATCATCAACCGTCGCAACACTACCTGGAAGTCCGTCTTCTTATGCTTACCCAGACCTTCCAAAATGCTTCTTAATTCAGGACTATACTTTCAATCATAGCCATATTTGGGATCCTGCCATATGTTAACGTATATTCCATAATTTTTTGGATGTTGGAACGTCTGGGGAAATACTATAAAACCAACCCTAAACCCTAAACCCTAAACCCCTAAACCCCTAAACCCTAAACCCTAAACCCCTAAGCCCTAAACCCCTAAACCCTGAATCTTAAACCCCTAAACCCTAAGCCCTAAAACCAGCATCCTCGAGCTTTGCAGTCCAAGATGCATGGACATCCTTGCCTTCATCGTCTTGTGATACGCGGGCTTTTTGCCTGACTCCCCTGAACCCACACACCCTAAACCCTAAACCCCAAACCCTATAGGCTTTAAACCCTAAACCCTAATTTCTATAGGCCTAAAGCCCTAAACCCTAAACCCCAAACTCTGCAGCCAAAACCATAAAGTCGAAGGCCTGAACCTGAGACTCTGAACGCACGCGAAACGACTAAACCTTAAACTCCGAAGCCGAAGTTGGTGTCCTGCCTCGGCCCTTCTTGCTTTTGCCGTGACCGAGCTTCTTGCCGGGCTTCTTTCCCGGATACTTCTTGTCCTTCTTGTGACCAACCTTCTTGCCCGGAATCTTGATTTCTTTGTCAGGCTTCTTTCCCGGATACTTCTTGTCCTTCCTGTGACCAACCTTCTTGCCTGGAATCTTGATTTCTTTGTCAGGCTTCTTTCCCGGATACTTCTTGTCCTTCGTGTGACCAAGCTTCTTGCCTGGAACCGTGATTTCTTTGTCAGGCGTCTTTCCCGGATACTCCTTGTCCTTCGTATTACCAGGCTTCTTGTCTGGAACCGTGATTTTGTAGCTGGAATCTGGCGTCTTCTCCTTCTCCTTCGTAGTACCAGGCTTCTTCCCTGGGTGCTTCTTGTCCTTCGGGTAACTGGGTTTCCTGCCGCGAGGCTTAACAGCTGCGGAAGCAGACTGGAGCAGCGCTGAATCTTCGTGCTCAGGGCAGGATCCTTCTCGGCAGTCTTCGGCGAACTCAGGCGAGAGGTCCTGGGCTGCAGACTAACATCAAGGGTCCCCCAAAAGGCTTCTACGAATAGGTACCTACCTCTAAAAGACAAGAAAGGAAATGTAAGCGTATCCCAAAATGTCACCCGGGGTCCACAGCTTCTTGGCCCCATACTGCCAAGACCCAGGCGCCTCAGCAAGAGATCGAGGCTTCAGTGAGTGAAGCCAAAGCGGGCTGCTTGCGATTCCCACCTTTGATCCCCCAAACCCTAAACTCTAAACCCTGCACCCGAAAACCGAAACCCTAAACCCTAAACCCTGAACCCTAAACCCTAAACCCTGAACCCTGAACCCTAAACCCTGAACCCTAAACCCTGAACCCTGAACCCTTTACGGATACCCTTTGCCCAAAGCCGCTTGACTTCCTCTAGGAATGGGGTCTTGATTCCCGGCAGTGGGGACCTGAACCGAAGTTTGTTGCGCCCAACTTTTGTGACTGTCAAGAAGGCCTCCGCCGGTCCCCGGAAAAGGGAAACGGCCCGGTTGGGGTTTAGGGTTTAGGGTTTAGGGCCGGAAAACTGGCCCTAAGACACGGATGAAACCACATCGTAGCTTGCACCGAGACAATCCAGACATGAGCACGGCGGAAAACAAGGCTCAACTGGAGAGCATTTCATCCCGGTGCGTTGTAGGACCTCTTGCGTGCCCCTGGGTTGGAATAAAAGGGGGTCGGAGTCGAATGAAACAGTGTCTGAATGATCAGACTCGGTTTTCTGGGCTTCTAGACCATAGCTCTGTTCGGTAGCCCGATTGACTCCTAATTCTTTCGAGTCCGGCAAAATAAGACCCCTTTCAATCCTCTCTACTGCCAGCATAAACTCTCATAAAACTTCCAATCACCGACTTAACATTCCGAAGCCCTTCATTTCAGTGGAACACTTTTGGGTTCCGGATCATAGAGCTTCGGGCCACGGCACAGAGCAGCACGGCCCGCCGCTGCATGGCCGAAATCCGGAGAGGATGCTGGAACTACTTCTACCTGTGCCTTCTGCTCTTAAAAACGCCGCAAAGGGGCTGAGAGTGCTCAAGGATCGTCCACCTGCCCCCCTTATATACCCTACGCTCCTAGAGTTCTAAACGTCGGACTTTGGGGGGAGGCGCTGTACACCAAAAAAGGGGCAGCGTAGGAGTCGGACCGTTAGGAACCTCAGAGGAAGAAGGAGGCGAAGTATAATCAAAGCCTCATGATAACGCGCCTACACCCTAAATGCAAACCCTCAGCACCCCAGGAAAAAAAAATCTGCTAAGTAAGGGCTCCGCGAAACCGGGTTCCAAGACCTTGAAGCATGAACCCTACCTTAACCTACCAGAAAACCTACTTTCTTGTCTGCTTTTATGATCAACCCTAGTCTGGGATGTAGAGGCACCCTACAAAAAGGTAGCTTCTGGGAGCCTAAGGTAAAACACAACGGTGCAGGGCTGATCTCCGCCTTGAGCTGTCGAAGGTGCATCGTAGGATGTGGCGCGGGTGCCGCGGGTGCCCGTGGATCCATCTGCCTCTGGCGATGTCTTCTGGGTTTCCTTATCCCCGAAACCCCAAGACCCCGAAACCCCAACACCCCTTGTACCCCGAAACCCCCACAACCCCTAAACCCCAGCACCCCTTAAACCCCGAAAACCCCCAAAACCCCGAAACCCCAAACACCCCTTAAACTCAGAAACCCCAACACCCCTTAAACCCCGAAACCCAAAGCCCCGAAACCCCAACACCCCTTAAACCTCGAAACCCCCAAAACCCCGAAACCCTAAACCAAAGGCCCCAGAGTTTCGCGTTCAGGGTCTACGGTGCAGGACCGTGGAGGCCTTCGACAGGCTCATTGCAAAACTTGTCACTATTGGTTTAGGGTTTATTCTTTAGTCTTAAATCGGAACCTGCAAGTCTCTCCGTTTAGGGTCTAGGGTTTAGCCCTACATCCTAAACTACCCTGAAGCCCTGCACTACTCGACGAGTCCTTGCACCCAAAGAACCACGGGACTGGTAGAAAAACAAGAACACCCATGTCGACCCCAGATATCCTCCTTTCTGGGGACCTCTATTTGGGTACCCGGAATGCTACGAATTGCCCATGGCTGATTAAGACCCTTACCATCAAGCTCTTTGTGCCCACCTGTTTGCCGCCCTCCCTTAATCCTAACAAGCCCTAGCCTAAACTTTAAAGCCTCAACCCAAAACTTAACCCCTTCCAAGACATTACACGACCCTACAGAGTATCAAACCCACGAAAACCTCAACACAACACACACACACAACAAGATCGCAAACCGAAGCCCTAAACCCTAAACCCCTAAACTCCAAACCCTAAACTCTAAGACCACATACAGCCTGGGCTTGAAACTTAGACGAATCACTGGAACACCCGAAAAGTCCATGTCCTCCGCGCCTTAGAAAGGTCGGCCACGACGTCACCCAGGTTAGCGCTTCCGAAGAGCCTCTCGACGTGTCGGCTCAACCCTTTCGGTTTTAGCTTTTATAGGGGGTTTAGGGGTTTAGGGCAGGAGTAGTAGTAGTAGTAGTAGTAGTAGTAGTAGTACCAGCAGCAGCAGTAGCAGTAGCAGTAGTAGTAGCAGTAGAGTCGTTGCCGTCGTCGTTGTGGTCGTTGTAGTAGCCGAAGTAGTAGTAGTAGTAGTAGTAGCAGCAGCAGCAGTAGTAGTAGTAGTAGTAGCAGCAGCAGCAGCAGCGGCAGCGGCAGCAGCAGTAGCAGCAGCAGTAGCAGTAGCAGCAGCAGAAGAAGAAGTAGTGGTAGCGGTAGTGGAGATGGTAGCGCTGGTGCTAGTCAGCTAGTGCCAGTGCAGTGCTAGTGCTGGTGCTCGTGCTAGTGGCCGCGGCCGTGGCCGCGGTGGTCGCGCTGGAAGTGGCAGGGGGAGTGGTAGTGGTAGTAGAGGCAGTAGTAGCAGCAACAGTAGTATACCTTCTTCTTGTGCTCTGTTCTCATTCACTTACAGCTGTATGTCTTCCCTGTCTCCGAAAGCCTACACTGCTTGCTTGCAATGTAGCAAAGTATACCCCGATAAGCAATTTAACACAAATACTCTTGCTTGCACGGCCCTCATATTACATGATATTTTTGATGTTTGGGAGGCACTCGTCACAGTCCCATTCCGTGTGAATCCTGTTGCCACGGGTAGGCCAGAGAGTTTGGGGCTTAGGGTTGAGTGCTTTGCGATAGAGGGCTTCGGGCTTAAGGTTGGGCTTAGGGTTTAAAGTTCCCGTCTTAGCGGTACCATGCAAAGTACCTACATCCATGGAAGCTGGCCACAAAAGCTTCAACTTCGACCCTAAACCCTGCAATTCAGGATCCCCAATCCCAAATTCCAGCTTGCCTAAACCCTAGACCCCGAAACCTTGCACACAAAGCCGTACACATTCCCCGTTAAACCGCTATAGAACTGGTCTTGGAAATCTTTGTGTAAACGAACAAAGCAGCGTCCCCCTCACCAGCAGATGGGCGGACATCTCGAAAGACATGATGCTTCAGAATCTTGGCGATCCGCATCGACTCATCTCTGCCATGCGTCAAGAACCCTTTGCTCCTCTCATCAAACTGCAGCTGCAGTGTCGGCAACGCTTGCTCGCCACAGGGATGGACGATGACCTCGCCTGTTAGCGCATGAGAATAAAGGGGATTTCACCCCCAGCTTTCCAGGTGCACTGCACCTCCTCACAGTCCGTGACACGCGGATCAGGCCGTGCAGCCATGCCTATTCTAGACGAAACCTGATGACAACTGATTCCAACCCAGAGGATGCATTTACCCACATCTCGTCCTAGTCACTACCTAGAGGAAGCTTCACCTACTCTAGGGACATTATTAATGCCTATCCAACAGCCCAAATCCGGACAACATCCTAAAAGCCACTTCAACAAGGCATTCCTATAATAACCCTACACCCCCAAACCTTACACCCGAACCCCTAAACCCTAAGCCCTAATCCCTAAACCCTAAACCCTAAACCTTAAACCCCACCCCCAAAACCCCCCGAACCCTCGACCCTCAAGACCTAAAGCCTAAAGCCCCAAGAGCCCTACCTGATGGCAGTGTCGCGGAGACTGTCGGCTTCCGAGCCTTCTGCCTGACCATTCTTCTGAAGGGTTTAAGGCTTAGGGTTTAGTTGTTGTGATGCTCTTGGTATGTACATAATAGGGACTAAGCGACCGGGTTGTGGGACAATGGCGTGGGTATTCAACGTAAGACTCAGGAGTCAGGATCTAGCGTTTGGGGCGTAGAATCTGGTATGATACACCATGGTATAGTATACTACAGCATAGTATAGAAAGGTATGGTAGAGTTCAGTAAGTCATAGCAGAGTAGAGTAGAGAAAAAGACTGGATTCACGGTGCAGGGTTTAGCCAACGAGGGGAGCGACACGACCTGACACTACTCACCATCCATGACTGCTCATCCTAACGGAGTTTGACTTGCCATAATAAGGAAACCCTGTTACCCAGAGAACCCAATACCCCTTAATAAGGAATATACCTTAAATCACAGGGGCCTTAATATTATGATTTAAGGTATATTCCTTAATTAAGGAGTATTGGGTTCTCTGGGTACCGAACCACGTTACCTAATATAGGGGCCTTAATAATTAGAATAGGGTTTGGGGGTCCATTATACCATAATCATAATAAGGAACCCCCAAAAACCCTATTCTAATTATTAAGGCCCCTATATTAACCACTTCTTCCTATATTAAGGCCCCTAAACCCTAAACCCTTATAGTAGCCCTTGAAGAACCCTTTAAGGAACCCTTTAAAGGAACCCTCCTCTGCCTGTTACCTAACCACTTCTTCCTATCCTGGCTCTCGATGCCTCGTCACCGCTGGTGGCAGATGCGAAGCCAGCTGGAAGGGACACGCGCTCATCGTCCTCCTCGTCCTGAAGATAGGGCTTAGGGGTTTAGGGCTTAGGGGTTTAGGGTTTAGGGCTTAGGGATTAGGCTTTTTATGGTTTGGGGATTGGGGTTTTGGGTTCAGGGTTTTCATGCTTGAGGAACCACCCCCCAACCCGGAGCAGCCAGACGAGCAAAGCAAAGCAACGGTCACATGAGGTCCTATGTCTTCTTTATGCATCCCAAACCCTCACGGCCTAAACCCTAAATTCTACATCCCCGGTCTTTCAGCTTAAATCCTATAAACTCTATATCTCAAAACCCTTCATTCCTAGGCCCAAAATCTAAAAATCCCAAGACCTGAAAGCCAAGCCATACTTAAAGGATCAGCGGACTTAGCAAGTCGGGTGTTAGTACCTTAATTGGGGCTTCAGTAAGGATAAGTGACAACACCAATGCACTCGAAATGTTCCCTAAAGTCCAAAACATGCAGCGCAGCACAAAATCATGCAGAACTTTCAATAGTTTAAATATACATCTGTACATAGTGTGTATGTGTGTGTATATATATATAATAATAACAATAATAATAATAATACCTATAATAATAATAATCATAATAATAATAATCATAATAATAATAATAACAATAATAATATATTAAACAAACATTACATACACACACACACACACACCCAGTCTGGTACAATTCTGAAGTGTCCTGGCCAGTGAGAGTGGAGGGCAGCCGATGTTGCACATCGTCGTAGATCTGACGTACCTGCAAATTTTTTGGCAGCTGAGGGGCATTCGCCGAGTACGGTTCAGGCACGTAGGTGGTAGGGTTTAGGGTTTAGCGTTTCAACATCCTACATGCGCATAGATGTGAGCAGGACACCACTGTTCACAACAGGTAGGCTTTAGGGCTTCGGGCTTAGCTGCAAAAGCAATACCAATATCAATTTATAAACCAGCCGTCAAATCACCACCATGCAGGTGTTGCTATTCTGGGACACTAATCACTCATCGCCAACGAATAAAAGTAGCTATCATGACAAATAGGCAGAATCGGAACCAAACCACGACAACAACACGAAGGAAACATGGCAGCAGCAGCAGCAGCAGCAGCAGCATCACCACAGGATGCATGCAGGGAAAGGAGGAGAACAGAAGACGATGGCCTCAATTTGGGCCCACAAGCCCGAAGCTCCCTGAACCCCCATTTTGCCCTTCAGGGGAAGCCTTCAAGAGCCCTTTACACGGAACCCTTACAGGGACCGCCAAGGACCTGTTGCTGCAGGCTGTCCGTCAGCACCGAGAAGTCTGAGGGCGCCTTCGAGGAAGTGGTAATAGATGATACAATGCATAGTTTAGGGTTTAGGGTTTAGGGTTTGGAGTTTAGGGTTTAGGGTTTAGGGCAATATGCCGTTAATACTATTTACGCATAGTATATGGGTAGTTCTCTAAAGTCGGGTCCCTTTCAGGGTGCTTATTATAAGGGTGCCGTACTATATTGGGGATCCAAAACGAGACCCTAATTTAGAGAACTACCTGTATAACTTACATTAGATAAATGGGCGGAAGCTTGCGACTTTCGAGTTGCTGTGTGTTTCGGTTTGAGGGCTTCGGGTTTTAGAATTAGGGGCTTGGGGTTTAGGGTTTAGGGTTTTAGAATTGGGGGCTTGGGGGCTTACTGCTTAGGGTTTGGCGTTTGGGGGTTTGGGGATGTGGGTAGGTCAGGATCGAGGGTTAGGGGTACGACGTACCGAAAGAGAGTGGCTCCAGGCCCTAAGCCTAAGCCCCAAGCAGCTTAGGACTCAACCAAGGCTTTGGCAGGCTCAGAAACCGAAAAACACTAAACCCTAAACCCCCCTATTCCCTGAACCCCAAACCCTACCTAATCCCTAAACC